TCCTCTCCCCCCCCCTCTCTCTCTCTCTCTCTCTCTCTCCCCCTCTCTCTCTCACTGTCGTTATTCGACCTCGAAATTCGTTTTGAAAATACATTTTGCTCTTCTTTTGTTCGACTCTCAACAAGATTTCTCTATCCAACTGGTGTTCAGACGGGAACCAGATCAAGCAGCTTTTCGATTTGAAGGAGAAGGTACCAACTGGTTGAGTGCGCAGACCTATGTGATGTCAGTGTGTGTGTCGGGACGGGACAGGGTGACTGGGTGACGGTCGTGCCGGGAACATTACGGCAGCGGGACGCACCAGGAGGGTCATGACCCCACCGTGTGACGTAGGAGGGAGGAAGCAAATAGGAGATCCGGGGTGAGGGGAATGATATAAAAAGATGAGCGCCGGTAGGGAGAAATTAAAGCTATAATTTGTCAAGCAGTTTGCGAGATATTTGACTAATTTGCCCAGTAGAACTACATCCTTCTTCGACTCTTCGACTTGAAGTTGGCCCGACATCTGACAGTATTTTAACATCATTTGAGATCTGAGACAGCTGCGAAGTGAAACATTTTACTATGCTACGGTAAGCTCACTTAGAAACTTTGTAGTAAGAGTTTTACGGCCATCGCAACACCATTAGGTCATGTAAGTGCCAAAGTTTAGAGGTGTTGTAAGAGAGTAACAAGCACAAAAAAGGAAGAGAAATAAGGATAATAGAATTTTGATAGGAAAGAAGGAACAAACAACGCCGGGGTACCCGCCAACCACTCACTGGAAGCTTAATGTCTGGTAGTTGTCAGGAAGTTGTGGCAGCACTAGCAGCAGCAGCAGCAGCAGCACTAGCGTAATATAATACTATACATTATAATCTTCGTTCAAACCATTATATGTATTACTGCTGCTATTTACATTATTGTTATTGATGTTTATATTTTATGAAGCTATTAGAAGTATAATAGCAGCAGTAGTAGTAATAGTATCGGCTTCAGCAGCAGTATAGTAATTGCAATAGTCATAGAAGTAGTAGCAGCAGCAGTAGCAGAATAGCAGCAGTAGCAACAACAGTAGTAGTAGTAGTAGTAGTAGTAGTAGTAGTAGTAGTAGTAGTAGTAGTAGTTGTAGTTGGGGCAGCAGGAACAAGAATGACAACGACATGTCTTTTTTTTTACTGTCCTAATCAAATCTATCTGCTGCTGGTCTTGATTTTTGCCCTCCGTTGACACAGAGCGACCGACTTTATCCACTTGTGTGTTTCCTGCTGTAGTTTTACGCTTAAGATGAGCCTCCAGTCTTATCCACAAAGTCATTAAGTCAACACGACTGCTCTATTGTACTCTAAAACCCACGCAAAGGTTTCACAGCCATCGTCAAGTGCCGTGAGAGTCGAATTATACTCGTATATGACGCATGATTTCATTGGTTGACGCCTGCCTCAATAAGATCTTGATATTGAAACGCTTGACTGTATTGGTTAATAATAATAATAAATAGACAGCATTAGTATAACGCAAATCCCCGATCAACAGCAAGCTCTATGCGCTTCACAATCTATACTATAGTTGACTCATGTCATATTAGTGAGACCCTATACGGTCATTCTTTTGGTCGAGAGGTTGTCTACTTGTACTGTGGAGCTTGTGGCTAAAGCCAGCGGGGTGTGTCTAACTAACAGGACTTGGTCAGTGAAGTGGGAGATCCTTGACCCAATGACTCATTGGGTATGTGACGAGCTGGCAAGAAGTTTGGGTGATATAGGGTGTGGGCAAAAAGTAGGGGAGGGGTTGGGTTGTGGAGGGGCGGGGGTGGGCAACACGTGAGGTTAAGTAATAAAGGCTCCACTGTGACGTCACGCAGTACTACCTAATTTAATGGTAATATATTATTATTATAATAAACTTACTGCAAATTTACATTTTTTGTTCTTTTTATCAACATTTTTCAGTAAAACCCATCAGCATTTTAAATGAACATAACAAATGTTAAGCAAAAAAAAAAAAATAAAAAAAAAATGAATAGATAAAATAAGAAAAATAAATAAATAAATAAACAAAACAGATTTTTAAAAAGGTAAAACATGTCGCCATAAACGGTTTTTCCGATTTCATTATTTTGATGAGCTCCTGATTTCACCTCGTTGCAACCAAAGGCTGTCAATATTGCTCCTACAGAAGGATTAATAAAACAAATCATTCTACAAAATCTATCTTATACTTTCACTAGCTGGATACCCATTCGATGCACGGACTTAAAAGAATCGACCGTCAAGTCATTGTGGAAACAGTGGGCACTGCTTGTGAACGGAAGCCTCATGTGTTTACGATGGTGTCTTAGAAATGGTACTTTCCCAAGATTAGATCGAAACGAAACTAATGAAAAACTGAAAATTAAACTACAATGACTTCAGATTCCTTAATATTATAACTGTGCACCCTTTAAATGATTCTGAACCACCGTCAATTTTTTTCGAATAGGAAAGTTAAGTGGTTCGGAAATTTTAGGCGTCCAAAGTGACGAACAGTCATAAATATAGATTTTTAAAAAATATATAATAATATATCTACATTTAAAGATTCCCTCTTGTAACGTTCCAGACTGCTTGTGTCCTGCCTGGTGCTGGCAGCACTCCCGGCTGTGGTTCGAGGGGTACAGAGTTCGAACTTCAGTGTAGAGCACAGCTGGCCTGATGGCATGACTGCCGAGGTGTGCATTTTCCACGACCTTGACATTACCTGCGGCTGGCAATTGGTGGTTGACTTCAATCTGCCAATCAAATCATTTGAGGTAAGTCTTCCATTGTGGTCGCGCACTAAATCTTTACTGTTTTTTTTTTCTTTTTTTTTGGTTTTTTTTTTTGTTAGCTTGTTTTGTTGTGTTTAGTGGTGTCGGTGGCCCCAGTGGTTAGGCTACCAGACTCGTAATCGTGAGATTGTGGGTTCGGGGGTTCGAGCCTCAGCTGGGTCCGACGTTGTGTCCTTGGGAAAGGCACATTACACGAATTTCTTGTTTGGCTCTGTCCTTTCAGAGAGGGACATTAAACTCGGTTGTCCCCCCCCCCTCTTAAATAACTCAATAGTATTGATAAATCTACACCATTTCACCATTTTCGTTCTGATTTCCTTTGCTTTGCTTTGCTTTGTTTTGTTTTGTTTTTGTTTTTTAAACATTTTTCAAAAGTGCATTTTAAATTCTATGCTAAGAAAAGAAATAAAGCAAGGAAGTATGGAAAGAAGCTGGTCGTCCATTAATACATAAAGATCTGAGATTCGATAAATGCAATTTCTACGACACACACCTGGATTGACATGAAGGCTTTGTTGAACATTTTGCTTTTACCAGAGAAAATAGTTGCGTCGATAGCCTTGTGGTTGGGCTACCGGACTCGTAATCGTGAGTTTGCTGGTTCAGGGGTTGGAGCCTCATACGTTGTGTCCTTGAGAAAGGCAATTTACACGAATTTCCCACTTGGTTCGATCTTTTCGGAGATGGATGTTAAAAATCGGTGGTCCTGCCTCTTAAATAACCTAACAATGTCGATAGGGGCGTTAAATCTATACCATTTCTCCACTTTTCTAGAGAAAATAGAGCGGAAATCGCCTGAGATCGCCACACATTGTCGTCGAGGAGAAAAGCAACCATTTTAGACAGTATAATTATTAAGCCGTCTTACACAGTGCCATTATAACGTTAAAAAAACCCAACACACACACACAGGAAGAAATGGAAAGTGACCATTTGTACAGGTAATTGTCTTATTTAGGAAGCCATCGTGACAACAACAACAACAACAACAACAACAACAACAACAACAACAACAACAACAACAACAACAACAACAACAACAACAACAACAGCAGCAGCAGCAGCAGAAACCACAACAA